CACATAATTTGTAATTATAATATACATAATAAAAGACGTAGGCAAAAGATGCCACCCTTAAAAAAAAAAAAAAAAAAAAAAAAAAAAAAAGAATCTACAATATATATATATATGATATAAACCAGAATTTTACGTTTAATAAACCCAAACTATACTAAAAGGGCAGACCAAATTTAAACATTAAGTCGCATCTTTTTATTGCAAATAATGTGTACTTATTCAAATTAAACAAGGTTTATTTTAAATATAATATAAAGTTCTTAAATGAAACGATTCGTTTGAAAAAGACTTTAAAATTACCTTCAAGTTTTTTTTTCTTTACCCATTTTAAAAAGTTTCTACCAAACTAATACTACTTAAATTAGAAATTATTTTTAAAGGCAGATTTTTGACACTCGATAGAAACTATTTATGCAAAAATTTTCGTTTTTTTAGTATGTCACTTGAGTTCTAAAAAAGTACTCTAAAGCATATAAATAAGTTACCGGGCAATTGATTTACATAAGCCAACCAAATGACTTTCGTCCTATGACCTAATTATATGTTCATCCGTTCATGTTCATAATCGAGTACCTGTTCAAATATAAAATTTATATTATTAATAATATGGTTATCAAAAAACATCGGAAATTTTTTTTAAACAAAAGAGAAAATCTGAAATTCTAAGGATAAATTACGCTCAATATGAAGAAAGGTGTTTTGATAGCAAAGAACAACGTTATAAGGCTATGGCCATCACAGGCTCAGTGCCATCACTTGCTGACGATAAAAAAAGATGGTTGATGACTGAGCTGTAAAGCTCAGAGCCATCTCTATCCTAATGGTAAAAAGGGTAGATAACAGAGCTGTAAGGCTCAGGTTATCTTTATTAAAGGGTAATAAAAAAGTTTGGGTCGATGACGGAGATGTAAGGCTCAGAGCCATCTCTATCTAAAGAAAAAAAAATAAAGTCGATGCTGAGCTGCAAAACTTAGGCACCTCTACGAAGAAAAAGTATTAAAAAAAAAAAAAAAAAAAAGAGCGTTTTGTTGGTAGAGCGATAAAGCTCAAACCACATATCCTTTTGCTATTCATCATTTTTCTAGTAATAATTAAAAAGAACTCCGACCTGCGAGAAATTCTTCATAATAATCATACGAATGCCCTGACAAGAGATTTACAGATCCAATTTCTACTGATCCGCAATTAGCTAATTATACGTTGTGAGAGAGAAATCTCGTTCAGGTTGATGTCGAAGTGGCTCGGGTCGATCTAACCAAAATTTGTCAAAAGATGCCAAATCTGCCGAAAAAAGTATTTAAGCACAATCATTTCGATGTAATTAAAGGATAACTCCCTTTGAGTTCATAACTACGAAAGTAAAATGAGTAGTAGTTTCTCTTGAAGCCCCCACTTGATATAAAGTCGTTAACGTATGTCGTTTATCGTATTTTCTTGTCCTCGTGATTCGTAAGAGACTCATTATCGTTAGTAAGCTAAAAAGTAAAAGCGAAAGAACGAATTAGTAATCAAACAGCTCAAATTGATTAAGTTTGTAATTAACCCCATTGTTAATAAACATACATACGTACGTAATTGCTCTAAGTCGTAATCTCGTGACACAAATTCGGAACCCAAAGATCGATTGCACTTGAACAGTAAAGAAGCTAATATTGTAGATATTAGTAAAGAGAATTAAAAGTGATAATAACATTAGTATTGTCAACAAACTCAAGCTCAAAAAAGTAATAAGACGACTTTGAAACCAGTCTCATGACTGCCGCAATATTGGAAACACCCTATTCTCGGACCAAACCAAACCACGCCTCGATCGAAGCCTACCAATTAGGGTGTGGAAGAATTTTATTAGAATTAATAGAGTTTTGCATTAGTTTTTGTGTAATAACGACCCTTGTTAAATTAGTTTTTGGTTTTATACCATTTTTCACCGTCACAACGTTCATCCGTTCATGTTCTTAGTCGAGATTTGTCCGATTATTTTTTATTACGCTTAAGTATAAAATTCATATTATTAATAAATATAGTTATCAAAATATCGGAAATTTTTTTTAAACAAAAGAGGAAATCAGATATTCTAAGGATAAATTACGCTCAATATGAAAAAAGGTGTTTTGATAGCAAAGAACAACGTTGTAAGGCTATGGCCATCACAGGCTCAGTGCTATCACTTGCTGACGATAAAAAAAGATGTTTGATGACGGAGCTGTAAGGCTTCAAGCGCCATCTCTATCCTAAGGTAAAAAGGGTAGATAACAGAGCTGTAAAGCTCAGGTTATCTTTATTAAAGGATAATAAAAAAGTTTGGGTCGATGACGGAGCTGTAAGGCTTCAAGCGCCATCTCTATCTAAAGAAAAAAAGGAAAGTCGATGGCAGAGCTGCAAAACTCAGGCCATCTCTACGAAGAAAAAGTATTAAAAAAAAAAAAAAAGAGCGTTTTGTTGGTAGAGCTATAAAGCTCAAACCACATATCCTTTTGCTATTCATCATTTTTCTAGTAATAATTAAAATTAAAAAGAACTCCGACCTGCGAGAAATTCTTCATAATATTATTAATCATACGGATGCCCTGACAAGAGATTTACAAATCCAATTTCTACTGATCCGCAATTAGCTAATTATATGTTGTGGGAGGGAAATCTCGTTCAGGTTGATGTCGAAGTGGCTTGGATCGATCTAACCCAAATTGGTCAAAATATGCCAAATCTGCTGAAAAGAATAGATATATATCATATATCTTAGTAAAAAAAAGGTTTTCTATGTACTAATATTAAAATTTTTAGTTTTTCTATATAAACCTTTTTTTTTTGCTTATGTCAGATACCGTATTGTCGCGAAATAACACAGGGGTGAAATTACAAATTTTGGCCTAAATTAAGCTTAATTCGGGCCATTATTCTAAATAACGCCCCTACGCGTTATTTCGCGACAATACGGTAGGTCATATAGAACATATATGGTCGTAACGGCAGAGAAGTTCGTAGTAAATTAGTACTGTATAAAAAGTATTTAAGCACAATCATTTCGATGTAAATAAAAGATAACTACGAAAGTAAAATGAGTAGTAGTGGCCCCCACTTGATATAAAGTCGTTAACGTATGTCGTTTATCGTATTTTCTTGTCCTTGTGATTCGTAAGAGACTCAGTATAGTTAGTAAACTAAAAGTAAGAGAGAAAGATCGAATTAGTAATCAAACCGCTCAAATTGATTAAGTTTGTGATTAACCCCATTGTTAATAAACATATATACCGTAATCTCGTGACACAAATTCGGAACCTGAAGATCGATTGAAAATCATGCGCACTTGAATAGTAAAGAAGCTAATAGAGTAGATATTAGTAAAGAGAATTAAAAGTGATAATAGCATTAGTATTGTCAACGAATTCAAGCTCAAAAAGTAATAAGACGACTTTGAAACCAGTCTCACGACTGCCGCAGTATTGGAAAACACCCTATTCTCGGACCAAATCAAACCACGCCTCGATCGAAGCCTACCAATTAGGGTGTATAGGAAGAATTTTATTAGAATTAATAGAGTTTTCTATTAGGTTTTTGTGTAATAGTGACCCTTGTTAGATTAGATTTTGGTTTTATACCATTTTTCACCGTCACAACGTTCAACCGTTCATGTTCTTAGTCGAGATTTGTCCGATTATTTTTTATTACGTTAAATATAAAATTCATATTATTAATAATATAGTTATCAAAATATCGGAAATTTTTTTTAAACAAAAGAGAAAATCAGATATTCTAAGGATAAATTACGCTCAATATGAAGAAAGGTGTTTTGATAGCAAAGAACAACGTTATAAGGCTATGGCCATCACAGGCTCAGTGCTATCACTTGCTGACGATAAAAAAAGATGTTTGATGACGGAGCTGTAAGGCTTCAAGCGCCATCTCTATCCTAAGGTAAAAAGGGTAGATAACAGAGCTGTAAAGCTCAGGTTATCTTTATTAAAGGATAATAAAAAAGTTTGGGTCGATGACGGAGCTGTAAGGCTTCAAGCGCCATCTCTATCTAAAGAAAAAAAGGAAAGTCGATGGCAAAGCTGTAAAACTCAGGCCATCTCTACGAAAAAAAAGTATTAAAAACAAAAAAAAAAAAAAAGAGCGATTTGTTGGTAGAGCTATAAAGCTCAGACCGCATATCCTTTTGTTATTTCATCATTTTTCCAGAAATAGTTAAAATTAAAAAGAACTCCGACCTGCGAGAAATTCTTCATAATATTATTAATCATACGGATGCCTGACAAGAGATTTACAAATCCAATTTCTACTGATCCGCAATTAGCTAATTATATGTTGTGGGAGGGAAATCTCGTTCAGGTTGATGTCGAAGTGGCTTGGATCGATCTAACCCAAATTGGTCAAAATATGCCAAATCTGCTGAAAAGAGTAGATATATCATATATGTCAGATAGGTCATATAGAACAGATATGGTCGTAACGGCAGAGAAGTTCATAGTAAATTAGTACTGTATAAAAAGTATTTAAGCACAATCATTTCGATGTAAATAAAAGATAACTCCCCTTTAGTTCATAACTACGAAAGTAAAATGAGTAGTAGTTTCTCTTAAACCCCCACTTGATATAAAGTCGTTAACGTATGTCGTTTATCGGATTTTCTTGTCCTCGTGATTCGTAAGAGACTCAGTATAGTTAGTAAACTAAAAGTAAGAGAGAAAAATCGAATTAGTAATCAAACCGCTCAAATTGATGAAGTTTGTGATTAACCCCATTGTTAATAAACATATATACGTACTCTAAATCGTAATCTCGTGACACAAATTCGGAACCTGAAGATCGATTGAAAATCATGCGCACTTGAATAGTAAAGAAGCTAATAGAGTAGATATTAGTAGAGAGAATTAAAAGTGATAATAGCATTAGTATTGTTACAAACTCAAGCTCAAAAAGTAATAAGAAGACTTTGAAACCAGTCTCATAACTGCCGCAGTATTGGAAAACACCCTATTCTCGGACCAAATCAAACAACGCCTCGAACGAAGCCTACCAATTAGGGTGTATAGGAAGAATTTTATTAAAATTAATAGAGTTTTCCATTAGGTTTTTGTGTAATAGTGACCCTTGTTAGATTAGTTTTTGGTTTTATACCATTTTTTCACCGTCACAACGTTCATCCGTTCATGTTCTTAGTCGAGATTTGTCCGATTATTTTTTATTACGCTTAAGTA